GCTTTTAAGGAAGAATATATCTTTTGCAGCCCTAAACATATACACTTCAATATGTAACCTATATTGACTTCATTGGTGTACAAGAAAATACCGTAAGAATTCAGTCAAATTTAACGAAGTGTACACTGATGTTCCGCTATACTTATCGACCTCTAATTGAATGATCAGCAAGTTGTTAAATTTTATTTGACTCTATGGGAGAATGGGGGCACCATCAATAATTCTGTAATAAAATTGTTACTACATTAGGTCTTACCAGAAATACATAGATCAGAATTAGCCATCGACAACAACCTTGAATTGATTTCGTCAAACGACATTAGTTAGAAATAAGTGGCTCGGTTACAGCAGGAATAATCTTTTTTTTAAAGAAAATCAATAGTGTAACATTTGGCGCCCCATGCACTCTCCATCAAAATTAATGCCTTTGTCCCTTTACGAGACATGCATGTGATGGCAAAATTATCAAATTGTTCAGGAATAGATGATGTCTTGTACAAAATTTCATGATGTTTGCAAAAAATGCAAAATTAGAATATCGTACCTTTAAACCTTTCTCGATTGCTGTTTACACTCGGAGTCACGTCTTGCTTACGCTGGACATTGGGTGATAATAGATGGCCAAGAAAATTTGTGACAATATTTAGCTTCTGTGCGGTCCTTCTCAACTTCTTCTTAATTCCATCCTCAAACTTTCTCGTTTTCTCGTGTCGTGGTCCGGTGAAATGGGTTTTAAATTGTCATTAGACCATTCCCGATCCTGTAAACCATAGCAACCGTAACGTAGGCCTATCGGTATGGCGCTCTCTCATCCCGACACTCTAAGCACAACACATTCCATTGTTTTCTTGAAGAGATACTGGAGGTGGGTAAGAATAGAAAATTGAAACAGAGAGATAGAATATAGAATTCAGAATAGAATATAGAATATATAATTTGTTGTCTTCTTCCAAGTGAAGAGGGGACAAAAGGAGAAAAGGATAAGTAGAGAGGAGATGAAGAGAGTGTGAGAGAAGGAATAGAGATAGAGAATGAAAGAGGTAGAGGTAGAGAGAGAGAGAGAGAGAGAGAAAGGGGGGAAAGAGAGAGAGAGAGAAAGAGAGAGAGAGAGAGAGAGAGAGAGAGAGAGAGAGAGGGGGGAGATGATTGGGGGGAGGGCACGAAACAGCTAGAGATGTAACACTAATGAATAGTTAGAGGCCTTTATTAGATAGAAATTTGAAATAAAAAAGGAAAGCATAATAGGCAGTATATACGTTAATGTTGTCTTCACATAACTCACAATGATAAATTTTAACGAAAAATTTTACTCAGTTCGACTTTGCACACGTCTTTACAAAAAAATAGCGGTTATATTTCTCCAAGCTAACTTTACATTTGTTATTATTAGTCATGGACAAGATTGAGGAAAGTGTAAAATTTAGAGTTTCCATTCAACTTCTATCAGTCGGGAAAATGCGCAGTACATTAGGACGATAAAACACCAAAGTGTGCTTTTTATCTCCATTCATATGTTGTATAAGAACCATTCTTAATACACGGTCTCACCCTCATTATATAATCTATATGATATCAATACTATTGCATTGGATCTTATCTGCTTCCCGCAATTACAGTCTTATCACTAAAAGTCTGACAAAATAATAAGTTTCCATATCTCCGCATTTTTGTTGTACATTAACTTTACGAGCAGCACTTGAACTAGGCATAAGAACTGTCTAATAATTTTCGTATCTCGTTAAAGAAATATCCAAACAAAGGGATTCTGGTCTCTCGAGTCCTTCATAAATCATTTTTTTGAAAGGCACGCGACTTTATTTTGATCTTCTTACGATAAGGCTTCTCCCGGTCGAGGCGGGCAGGCAGGAGACTGAATGATGTTGGTATAGAAGGCTGACGTTTCAGACATAACTGTGGCTCTTTATTTAGAACTGTAAATATACGAATGCCTCCCAAAATTGCAGACCAGAAAGTAGGGCACATATTTCTTCCCGGCTTGATGATGGTGATGGTTGAAGTGAAGAGGGGGGGGGGGGGGGGATGAACTTGATTAAGTGATCTATGATGCAGCGGTTGTGCCGGGGATAGAGTTCTATTTTTACTCTGTATGATGGTCTGTTTCAAGATTAATTTTTGATGGAACATATATTAAAGAATTTGAATAAATTATGCCAACTATTGCTTCCTGGTTTAATCCCATGCATATACGTGTAGGATATGTAGATCTAACTTGATCTTGACAAGCTACAATAATTTGATTACAGCACACCTTCTTTCCTCAATGTGGAACAAGGGCATTTAAAGTGAATATGCCTTAAGTTTGTGTAAGGCGTATCCCATATGATATATGCATGTCCTGGATCTATAACACAATGATGAAATTGACTCATCAACGCAATAGGGTTTTTCATAACGATATGATATAGTTGAATATGAAGGGAAAATGACACAATACACGAGTCTATAGTGATGAAGTCACGTAGCGATTGGCTTCTGCAATACTCAAATACTTAGTTGATACTTATCGATATACATTATGATTGGGGGGAAAAAGAACACAACGAAAACGATTTGGCCACTATGTATGCATTCCGCGGGTAAATGGTTAATTTTCATGTGAACAGTAAGTGGAATTATGTCTAAATGTGGGTGAAAGTGAGATTTTTGATCACGTAGAAGTACATCACTCGTTTCTTACATGTGTAAATGGCAAATAACAACGCTATGAGTATGATCCAATGCACCATGGACATCATCCGTGTGGACACAGCTTAACAGATTGTGACCTGAGAATAGGGAGGGGAGGAGGAGGAGAGAGAGAGAGAGAGAGAGAGAGAGAGAGAGAGAGAGAGAGAGAGTGTGTGTGTGTGCGAGAGAGGGGAGAGGATGAGAGAGAGAGAGAGAGAGAGAGCAAGAGAAATATGGTGTGAGAGAGAGAGAGAGAGAGCAAGAGAAATATGGTGTGTGAGAGAGAGGGAGAGAGAGAGAGAGAGAGAGAGAGAGAGGAGAGGGGGTGATACCTAATAGGGTGAAATAGGGGTATCATTACTGTTACTCATGTACAATTTTCAATGACTCATTTTGCGTTAGCATTTTAGCAAATAAACTTTTGTGGACACACCGGTACCTTTCTGTCACCTGATTAAGCTGTTTAAGAGAACATCTATGTTCCGATGATGTGGTCTGTTTGTCTTATTTGTAAAGGTAAAGTTTAGCTTTTGCAGCAGCAGAACGGTAGGGGTACTGACGGCCGAGGGAGAAGTGTGGGTGTGTGTGGGTGTGTGTGTGAGTGTGCGTTGTGTGTGGATGCGCTTAGGTGTGTGTTAGCTATTTAAAAAAAAGTGTTGGGAGATATTAGAAATGAACATTGATAAAATATGAGGTTACTGTATATGTTTTGTTATGGGTTCGCGTGTGGGTGTGAGCGTGTGCGCGCGTGTGTGTATGTATGTATGTATTTTTCTTTCTTTTCTCTTTTCGCCATACAAATAAGGATGAACGTACCTCCCCACCCCGTTAACTATATGCTGCTGAAGGGTAGAAAATGAATGAGTTTGGTTTATGCAACTGAAACACATATCTGCATATATTTGAGAAACATTATGAAACTGAATGATAATTCAATAAAGCCATATAAAATGTATCTGTGTTTAAGTTTCTCCATTAATCAGAGCACCGAGAGTACAGTTAGGACGTACGTTTATGTTCCTATTTATCCAACTAAAATAACTCATTAAATCAAGACAAAAAAATAAGACAAGCTTATGACTAAAAACATGGCTTAAACGAGTTTCCTTTACTGTTCTAAGTATGATGAATATCCACAGCGTAGTTTTGGTATTGATGATGGAAAGCAAATGAATCTAAACTGAATCTTACGATTCAAATTAATTCTTTCTGATAACCGGTTTGAACCAATTAACCTGTCACAAATTTGAATAATACATACACTTGATTATAAAGCTCACGAGACAGGTGATTAATAAAGATAAAAAAACATGCGTTTCGGTTTTTGCAACCACTTTCGTCCTTTTAGTTCTCCACAGTATTTCACCGATCCCATTCTGTCACTTGATTAAGCTGTTTAAGAGAGCATTCATGTTCCGATGACATGGTCAAGTTGTCTTATTTGTAAAGACAAAGTTTAGCATTTGCAGCAGCAGAACGGTAGGGGTACCGACGGCCGATCACTCATATAATCAAGACCCCCCCCCCAAATGGATCAATAAATCAGACAAACGTATGAATAAAACATGGCTTAAAGTTAAACGAGTTTCATTACCGTTCTAAATAATTTATGATGAATATCCAAAGCGTAGTTTTGGTATTGATAATGGAAAGCAAATGAATCTACACTGAATCATGCGATTCAAATTGAACCAGTTAACCTGTCACAATTTGAATAATACATACACTTGATTAGTGTTAATAGCTCAAAAGACAGGTGATTAATTATTTAAAAAAACACCATGCGTTTCAGTTTATGCAACCACTTTTGTATTTGAGTTTCTACACTATTTCCTAATGTCGCTCGTATCCGCATGACACGTATTTCACGATACGGCTCTCTCTCTCTACCCGAATCTCCCATGAGGACATTTGGAGCTTTGTTATTTCTTAACCGGGCCTATCTCCAAGTCTGAAGAGCGTTTTTCCAGATGTTTTGAAGGAGAAGAACTTGTATTTTGATTGAGAGCACCATGCAGTTTTGGAGTAACGGGTCTATCACTCCATGCAACATGTGTTTCCTCATTATCCTGTGGACAGGGTGTATTCTGGTCGCAGCCAACACGGAACATTCAATTGCATCTCCTGGAGAGATGCTCCCCAGTGGATGCCGCCTAAAGAATGGGGTCAATGCTTACTGCAAGGATCTATCATTAACTTCCATTCCCAGAGATTTGCCACCGAACACTACCACACTGGATGTATCTATCAACATAATCAAAGCCCTCCAAAATGATTCATTTACTAGAATTCAAAGACTGACTACTTTAAATATGAATCGAAATCTGATTTCTGATCTTGATGTTGGAACATTCTCGCCGCTTACCCAGCTGCAAAAATTGGTCATTACAAATAACAAGCTCACACACCTACCACGCAACATGTTTGCATCCAACCAGTTCTTGTCAATTCTTGTGCTTTCCGGCAACAATCTATCCTCAGTCCCAACTGAGACACTGACTACGCTCCATCGGCTAGAAAAGATTTCTCTTGCTAGCAATTCCATCCAGATAGCAGATTTCAAAGCGTTCACGTATATGAATAACATATCGTGCATTGATATAAGTGGGAATCAGATTTCTTCTATTTGGGCATTAAACTTCAAACCCCTTCGAAATGCTTCTCTATACAAACTGAACTTGTCGAGAAATAAGCTGCAAATTTTACCACAAAGGCTGTTCTCTTACATTAAAGAAGTGGAGTATCTTGAAATGAAGTCCAACAGATTACAGACATTATACTTGAGCTCTTTTCTAAGTAATATGAACGTTGGTTTGTTGGCATTACACAGTTGTGGAGCTAAGTACATCATTCCGCTTGATAATTCTACTCTCGTCAACTCAACTTTCCCTAAAATACATACGGTGAATATGATCCAGAATGCCATTGCTTCCATTCCGTCGTATGCCTTCTTGGGTTTCAATCAAACCGGGACACTTAAGATGTCAGAAAACAAGATTACATCCCTTGTAGTCGACTCTTTCTGTGGCCTTGATTCCTTAACACATTTAGATATATCTCACAACCTTATCGTGTCGCTACATCCTGGCATGTTTTCTTGCAACCTACAATTGCAAGAATTATTCATTTCGTATAATAATATCGCTGTATTAAACACCATGTCTTACCAAGGCCTTTCACTCCGCAAGCTTAATATATCCAATAATGTCATGAAAAACCCACATCATGTTCAGTACTGGGACAACCCCTCACTGGCAGTCATTGACATTTCCAATAACCAGATTACGCGTATAAACCAAGATCTGTTCAGAGGAGTTTTAGGGAACCTGCATATATTGATCTTATCTAATAATAAAATAGGATCGTTCTCCCCAGTCACTTTCAGCAATGTGCCATCTCTCCAAAAGCTTTACCTCAAAAATGAGGTAGGCCAACGTTTAAACGGAGTATTCAGTAATATGACGAATCTCATCAAGTTAGATTTATCATTTACAAGGACAACTTTTACCTCCATTCGTCAATTCACAGAGACCAGATCTCTGAAACGACTACAAATGAGCCATACTGAATTAAAAGCTCCTGACCTATTCGACAATCAAACTCAATCATCGTTCTTTGACGGCCTTGTGTCTCTGGAACGACTGAATCTCTCAGGTAACCTATTGAGCAATATGTCACCCGGAGTTTTCAGGTCTCTTACTAAGCTCAAAGTACTGGATCTGTCTCAAGCGTCTATTGTAATCCTAAAACCTGAGCTTTTCAAGGGCTTGGTCTCTTTGACGTCTTTGTATCTTAATGAGAATAACATCCTTAATACTTCTGCACAAGTTTTCTCTGGGCTGGATAATCTTGGATCACTTTACTTTGAGAACAGCAAATTAGAATTTATAGACCCGGACACCTTCTTGAAGACTCCAAATCTCCGTAGCCTCTTTCTATCAGGTAATCGATTGACTAAAGTGCAGAACGATACATTCTTCCCTACCAGTATCAATCACACATTAACAATTGATGTTTCAGCTAACCCTTTCTCCTGCACCTGTGAATTAAGCTGGTTCATAACTTGGCTCCATGAAAGTAACATCAACTTGAAACATCCAAATCAAACGATATGCTCCAGAACATCCATCAAAGAAGTTGTGAACTTGCGTATCCTAATGTTTGATCCAGCTGACTTCTGTTTTGTCAACAGTGTCGACAGTGTCAATATCTTACTTATAGTTGCGTTATCTTTCTTTGGCGTCATGGTTGGATTTGTCAGCATACTTGCATATAGCAAACGCTGGTGGCTCAATCACAAACTCTTCCTTCTCAAACTAGCCATAATTGGTTACCAAGAAATGGCAGAAGAGTTCGACGAAGATAACTATGAGTTTCATCTAAACCTCATGTTCCATGAAGCGGAAGAGGAATGGGTCGACCAGGTTCTAAAACCTGGCCTGGAGGAGAGGTTGCCACATCTGCAGAACATCATCTATGGTGACAAAGACCTACACCTTGGGATGTACTATGTCAACGCCATCTTCGATGCCATCGACAACAGCTTCAAGACTGTCTTGTTGATAAGCAACCAGTCTATAGATGACCCCTGGTGCATGACCAAGCTCCGTATGTCCCTGGAGCATCTCAACGATACAGGACTGGACAAGGTCATCTTGATCTTCCTGGAGGACATCGATGATGATCACCTACCGTACCTTGTAAGGTTGTTCATGAGTAGGAACAAACCTTACATGTTGTGGACAGAGAATGAAGATGGACAGGAATTATTTTGGGCTCAGTTTGAGAAAAGCATGAGAGCAAATAGGGCTATAAACAATATCATTCCAGTTTAGTCACATAATTATAACTTATGCCGAGAAATCTTGGTAAAGGCTCATGTAACAAAACCACAAGGACTTAAGAGATATCAACTTAAGGGCACTTTCATTTAGAAATCATGTTCATATTACGAAATATGTCGGTGAACTCATGCCATTAGGACAAGGCTATTGATTATTTGAGTTTTTGCTACCGTAAAACTCCAACATTTGTGCAATTGTATACAAAAGATTTGTACAGTGTATTTGTAAAACTAACTTGTAGTAAATCACTGTATTAGGGGCATTGATAGAGGAGATGGGGTTAAAGTTCACCGTTATCCATTTTTCTTTGTCACTCTCTGTAAATTACAATTTAGATATTCAGACATTTTTTTATACTCTGGATAGAACATTTCAAAATTTGGGCAATGACTTTGTACCCTTATCAGCAAATGTGAATTTGAAAACATCTTTTTCCCACTGCGTGATGGACAGTTTTAGAAAAGTTTTTTTGGTAAATTTGGTAGCCCCCTGGCTAATCAAAGTGATGTAGCGATACAGCTAGGTATTTTTTTCAGGCATTTAGAGATAAAGTTGAGTTTTGGTGATGCAGTATTATTACAATGTGAAAGAAACTGTGTGGAAGCAATGAGCCAGTTTATAGTTGCAGTCTGAGCATGAGCAGATAAAGGTCATTGTAGACCAAATTGTGAAATACACAGAGACAAAATACTGAACACGTGCTCCTGAGTAGTTATTTAATTATTATTCATTTATGCTCCTGAGAAGTTATGTAATTATTATTCATTTATGCTCCTGAGAAGTTATATAATTGTTATTCATTTATGCTCCTGAGAAGTTATGTAATTATTATTCATTTATGCTCCTGAGAAGTTATGTAATTATTATTCATTTATGCATAATCAAAGCACAGGTGAGTGTATTCTTTGAAAAGGGGAAACAAATGCTATTTATATAGCACCTCCATCGCTGTAACGGTGAATATTTCAAAATATACAAAGTGGGACCTCTTCATGCTTTGAAGATCTGTGGATATTCGGGGTCATTTGAGACATGTGCTAACCGTGAACTGGTTTATTGTAAAATGTTGATTACGTAGCACATTGATGTATGCTGTAAAGTTTCGGAATCATCAAAATTATAGAAATTGGCTCAGTTTTGCTAAGAGTCGCGTGTTCTTTATATATAGTATATGGGAGTAAACAAACATGTGGCATGAATGTTGTGGTCCATAACATTTAGCCGTTACTTGTCATATTTTTAATAGGATGGCATTTGAAGAGCCATCATTTTCAGAGGACATTTTCTATGATACTCTTCCACTCTTACATGAAAGGTCACAAACTATTTTGAACCTTCCCAGAACTCAACCTTCTCTTACAGTTAAGATTCAAATGTATATACACATATGTACAGACATATGCACATGTACATGTATATATATATATACTCGGGTAATTTCTTCCATATGCCTTTTCAACTCTCTCCTGTCTTCTTTTACTCATAACTCATATCTTTCTCTGTTTCACTCTAATGTTCCAACTTACTGTTTTATCCTTTTTAAAATCCTATTCCATTTGATATCCATAACATTCTTGTATCATAGATTCGTTTTAGTTGAGTTATCAAATAACCAAACAGAAATAGGACTTTATAAAATAATGTACATTCCAAGGTTTTATTGATATAATGATTTTATACATTTCAATGTGCACTTGAAACTGATACTTAGATATTAGTGAATGATTTTCATTTAATGAAATATAAATAAACAGTTGTTTATGACACTGAATGTAAAATATTAGTGAATGGTTCCAATTAAATACAATATAAATATACAGTTGTTTACAACACTGAAACTTAGATATTAGTGAATGGTACCAATCAAATGAAATATAAATATACAGTTATTTATGACACGTTGATCATTGCTTTTATATTTCTTCAAAAATACTGTGAAACGATTGTAGAATACATCAATTAATAGATTAGATGGCATGTCATTGGTTTAAAATTGTGGTTTAAAGAATGAAGGAAGCTAGGCACAAAGGGAGGTGCAAAAATATCACACTGTATTTTTCAGCCAGCCCCCATAGTATACAAATGTAAATGTTTGGATGTGTTCCTTCTATTTTGGCTGCTCCCCAAGCATGCACTTACTTGTACAAAGTGTAGCAGGTACCCCCTTTAGTGCAAAATCATGGATCCTGCATGCAATATCACTTTTTTTTGTAAAGAAGAATATAATAAACACATATTGCACAGCTATTGAACTGTCTTAATTCAGCAAAATTGTGTATTTTTTGTGCGCATCACTAAAGACTTTATTACAATAGTTGCCAAATTGGTGGACTAAGCTAGATGGAAGGAAAGTACATAGAGAGAACGGAGAGAGAGAGAGAGAGAGAGAGAGAGAGAGAGAGGGGAGAGAGAAGAGAGAGAAAGAAAGAGAGAGAGAGAGAGAGAGAGAGAGAGAGAGAGAAAGGGAGAGGGAGAGAGTGGGAAAGAGAAAGACTTGTCATCAAATTCACAAAGTTATGAGAGAGAGAAGGAGGTAGAACATAAGCAGCACAAATGAACAGTCTTTATTTCCTGGTAAGAAGATTTTCTGTTTCATTTCTTGTCCTTTGGCTTGACTCTTCTGTAAACTGTCTCCTTCTTTCCTTCTTCCTGGGCCACATACCTAGCTGCTGTGAACAAGTAGTCACTTAACCTATGGTTGATAGAACAAGATATATATATATATAGAGAGAGAGAGAGAGAGAGAGAGAGAGAGAGGGAGGTAGAGAGAGAGAAAGAGAGAGAAAGAGGCAGAGGCAGAGAGAGAGAAAGAGGAAGACTTGCCATAAAATTCACAAAATTATATTTGGTTTTATATGGCTGAAGTGTACATACTGTAAAAAGTGTTCAAATAAACATTGAGTAATTGTAACAGGTCTTAACCGGGTTGTGTAAACACACCCAAGGTAACTATAGAAGCCAAATGTAGCAGCACGAATAGATGCATCTAGAATGTAAACTACATAATTGTTGAAAATCATAATTTTATCACACAGATAACGCTAGCTAATCTTTCGGATACATGCATATTTAAAGAGCACTTCTGATTAACAAACATCAATAACTATTACCGGTATACATTTTGCATTCCAAATGCAAATTTTGTGCCTCTACATTTCACTACACTTCCTAAAATAAATAATGTGTAAATATTTGAGTTTCATATTCTACTTTAAAATACTTTTGGTGATTTACAACACAAGTTTGCTGATCTATGGTTCACTGATGATCATCAAACAGGGTAAGCCTTTAATTATTGTATGAGCATTGGTCATTTCTTGGCTCCATTTACCAAATGTGTACTCAATTTTCATGTCAAATTATAGAAAAATTTGATTTTTTTTTCTTCTGATAAATCAATGTAAATCAATACAATGTACAGTAGATCTCATTCCCAACTCTTTATCAGACAGTGCCAATTACTATTTGAAAGTCACATACTTATCACAAAAATAATGTATAATCACATACCTGTTGATGAATCTGGCCACTGCAGGATCTATTTCATCACTTGTAGCAAGAGGTGCAATGCTTTGAAAGGAAGAAGAAGAAAAGAACGAAAGAAGCAAATTATCAAGTCATCCTCATTTGGGGTAAGTTTTGGTCAAAGTTCATTGCACATAATTATAATGAATTATTATTTATTAACAATGAGCAATGTAAAGAATTAAAAATCGAAACCATGGTAAATTTGACAGAAATAATGAAGTAAAAGAACTTTGATAGAAATCATACAATATAGAGCATTTTAGGATCATGTTGTAGTTCCTTATTCATGTTATTCCAGGCTTGTAGATGCAATTCTTTGTTGTTTTACATCCAAATTACTTTTAAAATCATGTCCCTTTTAGGTCGAACTTTGAAAAGGGAGTGCAAAAACATTATGGGGGGATTGTCCTTTTGTATAAGGTATGTATTAGGGTATGTTTAAAAAAGGGTGACATAGGCCCCTTGTGTCCCCCTAAACCCGTCCATCATTGATACAAGTATAATAATTTATTGGATATGTTTCTGGCACATCTCAAAATATCTCATATGGATTACAAGAAAATAAATCACTGGCTATTTCTAGATGATCTCCTCATTCACAATTACTTTACAAGGGTTGCTTAATGCTTTACGACGACAGATACCAAACATGCGCAGAGATGGAGAGTTCTTAAAATAGCTCCCACTGTCAACACATGAAGTTTGTGGATCCAAGTTTTATAGTCTGTCTTCATACATTTTCTCTTTGTAGTCTTAGTATACTAACTTCATAATTTCCAGTGCTTAATCTATATCAGTTGTAGGTTAGGGGAGGGGGGGGGGGGATGAGGGGGTATGTGCCCCCTTACCGCAAATGCAAACGCGAACCAAATCCGATATATTTTAAGTACACATCAAGAATGAAAAGAAACCCTTTCCCTATTTGTGTTATTTAAAGTCTAGTTTTCTAGCTCTCATTCTCTTGAAGATAGCTTTCCATAAGTAGGTCTCTAGAAATTAGTTTTTAAATATTCAATTTTCCAGATGTTAAATTTCTTGATGATCTTTTTCAAGAAGTTTTTTCCTTCTTAATTCCTATAACCAGTTCACTGAAGGCCTTTTCCCCCTCAAAGTCACTTGTATACAAATTGGAAGTACATTTTCTTTAATTTTTTTTCTTGATGTTCTTTTTCATGAAATATTTTTATTTGTTACATTCAACGGTTGCTTGGAGTCAATGTGATATGACTAAAGGTCACTGAACTCTAAGTCTGAAATATTTTTTCTTGCTTAGAGGGGGCCCATAAATCATGATGGATTTACAGGATAGATAGAGCTACTGAAGGATTATATCTCAAATTACATCAAGTTCAAATTTCAATGGTAATGATAAGAATGATATACGTAGGATGAGAATATACAATATAACTCATCGAAAAAAATATGAAACAGAGATGGATTCAGTATTTATGCTGAAACAAAGAAAAAATAAATCCTCAAAAAAAATGTTCATGTATGCCTACATGTTTATAACAATTGATCAAAAGCAAAAAAGGGTTTATTGGGTCAAGGGTTGAAGTTAGGTAGTTGGTAAGTACTGGTAATTGACCGTAAAGAAGCCACTGCCGCTGGAGCTTATGTGATGTCAATGAACAAATGGCTGCTCAGTGACACACATTCTTCTTCTTGTTAAAGAAACACACCACCTTATATCCTTTACATCATGAACAATAACTCATTTGACATAAATAGCTTGGTCTCAACTTACTTCAACCTTTTACACTCATACTCTAAAGAATTATAGACATTGGATGCTCAAATGATAAATTTGATATTTATTCGCTCCATATGATGACATTTTGATGGCTGTCACTGGCCCAATAATGGCTGCTAAGTCTGTCCACAATGCCTGCTGATAACCTTTCACATCTGACCTTTGACCCCTTGTTGGGTGGCAACAGTGGCATGATGGGTAATTAAAATGGTCATTGCTTTCTCAAGTTAGGCCGTTCACCTATCGACAACTAGCTCCAATAATGTCACATAGTTTTTAAGATTATGGTGATAGAGCACATAAAGCCCTGGCAGATGCCATCATAAAAATTATGATATATGGAATAAGAGTTAACAATAAAATGACCTACTCCATTTTGAAACATATTTAAAAGAACTTATGAATGTGAAATGATTTATACATCTACAAACTGCCTCCTATGACTTGTAAGGATAGACAAAAGTTTGGCCACTAATGCCTTCTAGACTCGGATGATGCTATGAGCTGCAGTAGAAATATTTGTTATGATTAGAAAGGAAAATAACATTTAGAAATGCAAAGAGAAGAGAGAGAAGAGAAGGATGATCAAAAGGTTTATCAAAGCAGTAGGACGAAGAATATTAAAAACAATGAAGAAAAAAAAAATTTGAAGAACACACAATCAATGGGAAAAAATATACCGGCAGTGGAGGTTTTTTTTCTTTTGTTATAGAATATGACAAAAACCAGAACAGCAGAATATCCTGAATAATGTTCTGCATTAGAAAAAACTGACTATATTCCAACACATCATAAGAGTTGTTCTATACATCAACAGAAATGCTACTATGAGATGATTTATCTCAGTATTAATACTCACCTTCTCTCCGCCCTTCGACATACTGATCTTGCAACATGTATGGCGCTGCTAGACTTCCCTCCTGACTGTGTTTCATAACAGAAAGGGAGAAAAAAAAGACATGTTCCATGATATGTTCTTCGGCAACTATTGCTTAGAAGTGTATGTCCTACATTGAATTAATTCCTTACTTTGTTACCCTAGACTTTACATAACATGATTTGTTTATTGCAGCTTTTTGATGCTGCATTGCAGCAGGTCGATTAAATTTTTTTTTTTCCAGAGCAAATGTCACTTTCAATCAATAACAAATTTGAGAGGCAGAGAAAAATAATCACTTATAATTAAATTTATCATAATTCATTCATTTATCAATTAAATTAATCACTATTAGGGTAAGGGTTAGGGTGGGATTAGGATAAATAATTTGAGGATGAGGGTCAGGGTTAAGATCTAGATTGAAAATAGGGTTATGATTACCTGCTTGGCAGGGCATTCTGCAATTGTTCTGAATCAAGATTTTGAATGATTTCTTATGTTGCCATAGTTTCCAGCAATATCAATTCATCACGCTTACAAATGTAAGCTTAAGAAAAGACTTATCTCATACATGCCAGTGAAGGGCGTGACTCACAAGTAAAGAGTTATGGAGCTAATGTTTTTTTTTTATCAGTTCGCATTCATCATGCTCTTAAGTCAAAGGTTTCACATCTAATACATAAATGTTTATGATGATGAAGACCAGGCCACATCAGTGTTGACATAACTCATCCTGGTGAGTACATTCTTGCACAAGTACCGTGACGGTCCACTTATGATAACGGCCACACTCTATCGCCATGTTCACACATGACGGTTGTGAACTGATTGTAGTGGCAATATATATAATGACATATCTAAAGCCTGCTATACACGTTTCTGAATCTTATAACCCTTAATGCAGAATTTCACTTAAATTGTATCAAAATGTGAAAGAGGATGTCATTGAAGACACATTTCTGCAAGGATCTTCAAAACAAATGTGTTTGAAGTCAAATATTGTTGGGAGAATACTAAATTTAGGTTTTATGCGTACAAGAAAAAACCCAAATTATGTATTTTTTTATCAATATTTGTCTCCAAACACATTTGGGGGGAAATCTTTGCACAAGTGGGTCTTAAGTGACATCCTCTTTCACATTATGATACAATTTAAGAGAAATTTTGCCATCATATTTTTGGCAAGTTTGGGGCTCCCAACACTTTAGAGGGGCTTTAAGACTTAACATAAGACATGTTAAGCTGTTCAGGACTGCGAGGTCTTAAAGAATGTCACATCCTTAATATGCTTCACATTTCTGTATCTTTTTAAAGGTAAAAGCTAGCCACCATTGTAATTTCCCTGGTTTCCAGCCTCACTGTGTGCACGAGCCATTGGAAGACCTTGCTGCAAGCAGATACTTTTTTTCCCACCAGCTCCACTTGCCTTCTCTTTGATGTAAAATATTTCGTCTTATGCGATTCCATTCATAAAATTCAGTGTCTGAATTGAACGTGGCATGAGAGCGAGACCATTATGGTAAGTGTGTGAATAACATCATGTATGAACCAGGCTATGAACTTAATGAAGAAGGGGAGGGGGGGGGGGGGGGGGGGGGGGGAGGTGGAAGAGGAGGATGGAGTTTCAGAATGAAAGGATGAAAAGAAGACCTAAATCATATGATTGTTGAGAGGCAATGTCATAATTCTCTCTCCTACTTGATGTATTTGATGTTACTACTTGTTCATTAATCCATCTTGGTGGTCATAAATAATTTGGTGGCATGCATGCGTATTTAAATAGATATAATTGTGAGTCTAGGACCAGTGACTATTTAAAAAGAATTTGCTACATGTATGAGCATACATTGGATAACAATATCAATCAATCAGTAATGTAATATAATCCCAAATGGCATTGTATTTGGAAAATGATATAACTTGTTTTTAAAGAACATAAGGAAATATGATTTTGTTTTCTTCCCCATTTTCTCACCGGCAGTATAAAGTTTCTTAGAGGAGGCAGCTTGGTTGTCATTTCATCTATCCAGGTCTCTAACATCTCAACAGTGGCACCATTGAATCCAGTCATATCTGAAATGAACAGATCAAAACAGAGGAGAAAAGCTTCAATGGAAATGTCTACATGTATCAACATCTGCACAAGTAAAAAAGGAACAAAGATTTGGAAAATGTTCTCTGCCCTCCATCTCTCCTACAGCTATCCCTTCTCCCAATCTACTCATAACTGTAATTAATTGATGTTAAGAGGTACCAATTGCGGGGAAATGGGAGAGGATCATTGTAGAAGGTATACAAAGGTTTACACACAGTCAAACACTGTTTAAATATTCATTGAATATTTAAAATGTCTCCATGCATCAATATAATATTTGCAAAAGGAAAATTTAGAATAAACTATGGTTTAAAGAAAAAATGTATTTCATTTTTGGATAGACAATCATACTGAATATTAGTATTCAATGTCATTTGAAAAAAAATCATAATAATACACTGTAAAATCAATGAACAAGCCAAATGTCTATTCATCCACATACTGAAATAATGTGCACATAATCGTGTCTATTCTTTTTTGGTAAATTATGGCTGCTAGCTTGGTAATAAAAGCACTTACCTAGCTGATTCTTTGAAGCTAAACTCTTTGGTGTGGCGATGTTGGAACCTGCATCCTGGAGAATGCACTGAATCTGAAATGATATATCAAGAGAGATAAAATACAGATCTCAACAAACAGTATATATCTACGGTAAACAAAACAAGTAAAAATGTCAATATTTAAGTAAAAATTTATCCTAACAAAAAGTAGATGATTGAACAAAAGCAACATATCTCACCACAAAGTATATCTCAACAAAAAAGGTATATACCTCAACCAAAAAGTTATAGAAACATCAACAAATGTATATAGCTTGACAAAAAAGAAGGTATCTAAAAAAAATACATAAAAAAGGTTACTGGTATATATTTGAACAGAGTTAAAAGCTAGAAGGAGAAGGGGAACAAATTTATGTAGCTCTAAATGTTTGGATGATGAACAACATGTTTTCACTTTTACTATTCTAAAAGTGACACATGAGTACCATGTGATGGCGCCAGACTACAAACAAATCATACAAGAGTTGAACAGTTTCCCAAGTAGGCCCATGGTGCTCTGTATATACACATGCGCACCATCATCAATTCAACAAAATGATTTCAGTCACGACCCCTGGAGAGGGGGTGGGGGGGGGGGGGGGGAGGGGGAGGGAGGGGGGCAATGAGGAGAGGACGGAGAAAAGTTAAGAAAATATTTTGGGAACAAAGATTGATACTAATGCTGTAATTTTGTAGCTTAACTTTTGAGTCACATGAATTTAGACCCTACTGAACGGCCTAGCAATGCTACTGAGATACTTCAAATTAGGGTTATCTTGTCATTCTTGTGCATGAGATTGTGCATTGTAATTACCTCCTCTAGCTGTAGATTTGTTGATGATAAATTTGACTCCTGGACAAACTCTCTGGCAAGCCTGATAGAAAAGAAAAGAAATGTTATAGATAATACAGAAGAATAACAGAGAAAAAGGGTGATTATGAGAAAGACACAGTATGCTAGGCAAACAACTGACCTAAGACTTATTATATATAAATATAGCTTATAAAAGAATAACAAATAACAAGGAATTAAATGTTGTTGCTGCTGCCAAAGGGGATGCAAGAGCTGACAGGAAAGATAATGTGTGTGAGCGGTTGAGAGAGAGAGAGAGAGAGAGAGAGAGAGAGAGAGAGAGAAAAAAAGTGGGAGAAAGAGATAAAGATAGATAGACAGAAATACAAAGAGAGAAAGAAAGAGAGAGATAAAGAGAGAGAGAGAGAGAGATTTAATTTAATTTCATTTATTTCATTCTCCATAAAAAACATCAAAGATACAAAAATGATATACATGATATGTAGATAAATGATTGAAATTCTTTTTATGGGAATGTGGGGTTAACAAAAAGTGCAATTGGCCTTATGAATGTCAACCCCTTAAAAAGTATACACTGTATTGTTGAGAAAAAAAGAAAAGAAAAGAAAAGCAGAGAAAACCTGAACCCCAATACAAAAAAAAGGGAAGAGAATAAATTACAAAGTGCATTTACTGAAGCATTACATCATTTAATTTGAGATTGAATACAATGATAAAGATATAGACAGACAGAGACAGACAGAGATTGAGAGTGTGTGTGTGAGAAAGAGAGAGAGAGAGAGAGAGAGAGAGAGATAGAGAGACAGAAAGAGAGAGAGAGAAAGAAAGAGATAATCAAAGTCCATAAACAAACAACTGACCTAAAACTCATTATACATGTATGTAAATATAGCTTATAAAAGAATAACAAATAACAAGGAATTAAATGTTGCTGCTGCCAAAGGGGATGCAAGAGCTGACAGGAAAGAAAATGTGTGTGAGGTCAAGAGAGAGAGAGAGAGAGAGAGAGAGAGAGAGCTCTAGAGAAAAAGTGGGAGAAAGAGATAAAGATAGATAGACAGAAATACAAAGAGAGAAAGAAAGAGAGAGATAGAAAGAGAGTCCATGTACATGTAGTTCTAGTCATCGGATAGACTATTGCTAAAAAAATGATTATAAACCAAATATAAACCATCAAATACACTGCCTGTATTTAAGTCTCAGGTGAAAATGGAACCCTCTCCACATACATGTCACCCTATTTACTATAATTCTAATCAAAGTGGATGTATCTGTATGTTTGTCCTTACCCTATGTGTGAGGAGAGTTCATCTGTAGCTCCGAGAGCCTCAAAGACTATATCGTTCTTCGGTCTCCGGTCCCCAGCTATAGTAACCGATGTACCTTAACATAAGCCAGAATTAAATTTACAATGAAAGATTGTAACTCATTCAAATTTAGTACTAATAATTTTTACAGTATACATTCAAAGATTTCTTGTACGTGGTGGTGATCTGGTATTTCAATATATTGATCTTATCACTAGCAAAGTGCCACATTGAATTCTAAATGTTACTTTTTATGAATGAATAAATAATATGAACTGTTCAATTTGAACAGTAAACTCTTTTTTAAATACAAAACAACAAAGTTATCTTCAGATTCAGAGCAAAGTGACAAGTTTGACAACATTCCATATGAAAAATCTGTTTTTAAAAAAATTAAAAAATTATAATGATCTGCATAGTGCATTATCATAAGAATGCTCTTTCAAACAGCAACTGGAAACTTGGCTACTGAGACTAAATTATAGCATTATTTGATAATCTTGGGTAAAGTTAAAAGCCTAAAAAGGTAGAAACCACATGCCATGAATTTATAATAACAATTATCAGGTAATAACAGATAATAGTATAATGTGTTTGTCTCATCATTTAATTATACACTTACCTTTGTCACCAGTTCTTGTATAAATCTTAGGAAGTTTTCTGTCTGGCCTTTTATCGGATGATTCACTGAAAGACACCAAATTGTATTAGAGAAAAATAAGTCTCTTACTGGTGAAAGAGGAAAAATGGGAAATTTAACTTTAGTAATTTTAGTGAATGTGAAAAGCAACATTTCAGGACCCATCCCATAAGTCAATAAAATATGGCAGGATGAATATACTAGGTAAAACATCATACATGTATAATGTACCAAAGAAGAAAGGGTGAGGAGGAGAAGGCTAAAGAAGAGAAGATAGAGATGGTGAAGGGAATCAAATATGATAAATGACCTAGCTGTACAAATAAGAGCTCAAGAAGAAAAAGTGGAAATTAAGTACACTGCAAAAAAAACTAAGCTTACAAGATGAACAGAAGAGCAAATGAGAACTTAAGAAAGATGATTGGTGAGAAGACCAACCAGGGGAACAAGATAGATTATGAGAGATAGGGGGTGGAGAAAAGGGAGATATGGCAAAAAAAAAGAAGTGATTTTAAGGACAAGAGAAAATGCAGAATAGTTACAACAATAATGATAATAATGATAATGCATGACAGAATACCTGTACAACAAACAGTCAAGAGGATGCACATAAAGTGAGGATCAAAAAAGTGAAGGAAAAAGAGTTTACTAAATGAACCGATAACCAGGGGTTGGGGTATTATTAGAGAAGGCTGGGGGTAGGTCTTAATCTTATAGAAAAATGAGTAAAAGTGGTAGTTTTTTTCATAACTAGGCACGTAACACGCATATCCACACAAAAAAAGGAAAATCAGCCTAATCAGGAAAAAGGGTATTAAATTCACTGCCACTGGTGATAAGAAGATAAGGGTAGGGGCATGGCAGAGGTAGACCAGAAATTTCTGTCTCTTTCGTTCATTAGCCTCTAATTTGGGTTAGGGTCGGCTCTAAAGAGAGGAGCCGACCCTTCCCAAATCAGAGGCTAACAACAACAAAAGAGACAGAATTTTTCGGTCTAGGGCAGAGGGTCTATAATAATAACAATTGAATATGATAATAGGTCTAATGACAATGAAAAATAACCATAATGATGATCAATGCCAATAATGAAAACAAGGAAAATGCAATAAAAGTAACAAGAGAAAAATAAGATGAACAGTTGCGATTGAGGATGGAAGAGTTAGGAACTGAACTTGAACTTTGAAGTTAAAATAATCTCGACTCGAGTCGTCTTGAGACTTGATCGATGAAAGTTGAAACTCAACAGAACCGAATGGAAAACAAGAATATGAAGAAGGAGAACAAATTAGAACAGGAATAAAATAATATGATAGAATGAGAGAGGAGGAGGAGGAAAAAAGCAGGCCCACCTTTTGCCAGACTCTGAACAAAAAGATTTTTGCATCAACAGCGGCACTACCCGTCGAGTTTTAGCCTGCCTCAGACTATTATCACGCCCGCAGTTCAGGCGGAAACAACTCACGTCACTCCGATAAAACAGGCTGCTAACCAAACATATCGTATCTTTCCTCGGGAGCTGGCAAATACTTCGACATTGTACACTCATTGATGTGGTAGGAAATGACTTCAAAGTTCTTAGCAAGCTAGTCATACTTCTGGTCCTTGGATTTATGTTTAATTGTAAAAACAAAATTGACAAATTCTCACACACACATTAGTTTAAGCATGGGACTGGTAGACCCTACAGTGCTCTTACAAAATCAGATCCTTTTTTTCTCCCGGTACTTGCCAATTCGATTCACATTACAGATAGTTAGGGTAAAAAGTAAATATTTTGATAATTAAATAAATAATTAAACTTCATTATGTTTTCATTTTGTATTTTTATTTTTCATATACGGCTTTAGTTTACTTTTTGTCCATTTGTCATTTTATTTTCTTCAGTAGAACCTTGATCTAATTTTAAACTGCAAATTGGACACTTGTTTTCGTGGGTCAGGAAAAGATTGAGACGACGTAAATAGGAGGAGTTTTCTGCCAGCACTAGATCATTACTACATGTAGATGTCAAAAAGTTTGCACAATTTACTACCGGTGAGTAACTCTTTACATTGTCTTTGAGGAAAAGAACACAATTTTGACTGAAAATGCGATTGACAGTATTTCACTTGAAGCCAAGACTGTCTCTGAGCTGACTGAGCTGACAGTGCAGTGAGCTGACGTTTCAATTTAGATCTAGGGAGTAGAGTTGAGTCAAGTACACAGAGCTCAGCTCAGAGCCAATGAAGGCTGTCAACAGAAAAACACAATACGTCAATAGTCCAGCAGTCAATGCGAAATCACAGTCATTGACACTTTAATTTGAGATGTTACATGTACATGACATTGGATTATTCTAAGTCTAAGAGTAAGAGTAAACGTAAGAATTTGTTTAAATGATGATATTGATGATATTTTTGCATCATTATTCATTGCATGATATGATGATTGATTGTCAATTTTTCATCATTGTTCACTGTGATCTGTTAAAACTTAAAAGCTATGAGTATGAAGTGTGTGATGCTGTTTTGTCTTATGATGCATTATTGTTTATTTATAACGGCATAATACTTACAGTATAAAGGAAAAAGGCATTTGCACGGGGTGAAATCCTTACTAAAGACAAAGTTCGAATTCCAGGGGCCCGTTTCATGAAACCCAACTCCATGACAGTCATATCTTTGTCAACGACCTCCGGCAGAGCTACCAAGTGTCACTCATTATGCGTGACAGTCACGCATCGAGGGTCTGAAAACGTTGTCACGCATGGTAACCATTTTTTTGTCACACATCAAAATGTGTAAACTGAATAGTTTAAAACATCTGTTAAACGTTTGGAATGTTAAAGTTTTGTCACTTTAATATTTTGTTGAAGCCTAAGACATTGGACAAAGCTTTCATAGCATCGTATTTTACTAAGAATAATTTAAGGGTGTATTTTTATAAACTTTTAAAAAAAAATATCTGGGGGTACCTATCTAAAAAACAAAACTGGTTCACCCGGCATGAAATAAATACTTACAATTATATTTTAGAAGTAATTATATGGTCTAATCTATATTACATTTTGAAGTATTTTCACTATTTTGCAGCTCTTATTTCCTGGTACTTTTATCAATCTTTTCTTATTCCTAAGTCATTTAAACAATTGCAGTTTTCATAACATTACTATTTTTTAAATCCGGTAGTATTGCAAGTAAGGCTATGTCTTGGCTCCTCTTCTCGCCTATAGTATCGATTTCACAAGATATCTAGCTATTAAATTCTTTGTGAAACAGTTTAGGAAGATCAGAGACATCTCCGTAGTTAGCAGATAAATTTATGACTGTCTTGTTGTTGGTTTCGAGAAACGAGCCCGAGGCAGCTTATACATGTATTTGCAGATTGTAGATAGTAGAGGAGAAGAAAGGGGGAGGGGAGGAGAACAAGAAAGAGAAGGAGGAAGAAAAAGTAGAAAAGGTCCAGGAACAAGGAGAAAAGGAGTTCAGATAGAACAATAACAATAACAAGAGGAGGAGCCGGAGTTAATCAACCAAATGCATGTACATGTATTATGTAATGCATATTTGTTGGTACAAAAATATGCAAATGAAATAAAAGTATGGTAATATCCTTGCTATATTATAGGGTCCATACTCTATGTTAATTTTCACTTTTGGCAAATTTGGCAAATTATTGTTGTTTTTCCAATACATGATTTTCATGGTTTACAGTCCGGTGACTTACCCACTAGACCACAACACCTCTACATCTGTATAAACTGTATTGTTCAAAACAGCACCTACAAAAGTACATGTTGTATCCTATACCTCAGAGTATGTTTCAATTTTTAAGTAACTACATGTATGGTTATTCATAGACCTTTTCAAAGAAAAACGTGTGAACTAATGTAAGAAAATAATCTAAAAATGCTGAAGGTGAGGTAGAAGTGCATTCAAAATAGTATTGATGTTCAGTTCAGTTTTAAATTTTAACCCATCGACTAGCACTGAATTCTGCTATATCATGCATGTACATGTAGGCTTTAAAGGTAAAGACCAGTATTGGAAACACCCCAATTTCAAAAAATGAAATGGAAGCTCTTATTACCAATCATGTGAAAGAATATGTTTTGACTAATACATGATGATAACATTTTTGCCAGGAAACCGCCTACTAATTGATATATTTGGTACATTAGTTTATCTGTTGGACTGTGAGAGATAAGCACACGTGTTGCGCACGTGAGCGTACATGTAGTCCCATATACATCTTTCTGTGAACAGTGCTTGTAACTTAACGAAGACTGGGCCAAGTTTCTTATGATTTTGATGATCCCAGAACCTTGCAGCACACACCAATACTTATATGCTAGATGATCAACCTTTTCCGATCGATTCCACAATGTTTCTATCACAATGCAATCGCATGACCATAACTGGTCTTTATCTTTAATACAGGAGCCACCGTATGCAGTAGGTTAAGGTAAATTTTTATCAAATATTGTCCTTGAGATACCTGTGGGTATTTATTTTCTTTGAATTCCTCATTTGATTGCTTTCAAGGTTTATCAGTGTACTATCAAAAGATATTCAATGAATTGATCCCACGCAATCTTTGAATTTCAGGTACTTTGGTTACAAATTTCAATTTTTATGTGCTGTAATTACATGCCAAGAATTTTGGGTTAGTAAATTTTATAGTACAGTGTACATGTATTTTATTACATGATATGTTAATGACCAGTCATTAGCATTTACTAATGACCAGTCATTAGTAAAATTACGTGTTAGGCAAAATAAAAGCCTGGTCATGTGTACAAATGTATGCTCTCAACCAATCATTTGATTAGGATCCGCTTCATCATCTTTGTTGTTGTGTAATAAAACATTTGGAATCTCAGGAATTCCTGAATTTCCTGGTACACTGTACATCCCAATTTCCTGTACTGGTAATTCCTCTTTTTGAATTTGTAAGTGTACAGTGTATGCAATGTGCTGGTGATAAATATACTGTAAGATACATTCTAGGTTCATTCAACAAATTTGGAAAATTTTCTGTCTATACAGGAAATGTTCCAAAGTCCGGTTCAGAAAAGAGTACTGGCCTTGCAAACCTCCTAGGCTTTAAAATTCATTTCTCTCTGCCAAGTCTACATGTATACATGAACATCTATATTGGTTGTTATACTAAAGTATGAATAAACAGGATTAAGGTCAAATCTTTATTATTTCGTATCTGAAATTTTTATTTTTTTATTTTCTCTGAATTCATGAGATAACCTTTAGGATTCAAATTAAGTGCAATTTCCTCATTAGACATGTATAATGTAATATATTTGTTTACCACAGCTGCTGGTAATTTTCTAGAGATCTTCAAAAACTGTCCAGACTTGTACTTACCAGTTGTGTATTATTGATCTAGATAAATTGGTTAGGTTATTTTTGGTAATTGCATGTAATACAGCTGCAATGGAATTCTTTGAATATTAAGATAAAAGAAAGTGATAGCTAACTCATAATTTTAACTTATTTTCGTTTCTTTTTGTTTTGTTTTCTTTTCTGCAGAACTTCCTGATGTGACAGATGATGTCTCTAATTTTAGATAATACTTGATGATCGGACACTTCCTGTTGACGACTGGAGATCTTCCTCACAGGCGAAACAGGAATCTTGGCCCTGATAGGCAAAATCACTTGTTTCCTAATATCTGCAGACGATAACGGCCATTTCCTCTCCAGTGGGCTCATTGCCAGTTCGATACAAGTACAGGCCGTCATAGCGTGTTACTGTGTAATACAGCCAACTGGTTGTGTGTGGTGTGATGTGCTTGCTTGTAGACATTGGAGAGCAAGTGCACAGGAATGCTACGGGCTACGGGGCTTCCCACAGGTCTGTGAGATTAAGTTATTTATCCTGTCACTTGAGCTAGGATTTGATTGAAGGACAAGCCCTTTGCGGATAATGATGAACAAGAATTTATAATGCGATGAGGGAAAGGCTGTAGACCTCTAGCTAGACACATCGTTTGCCTAGAAATTTCAGTGTGTTTTACATGGGGGATTTGTGCTAAGCTGCAACGAGAGATCCCAAGATGAAATTCAATGAGAAGAATGTGTCCTACTTTGCATCATGCAATTCGCCATTGGATAAGACTGGATACTTACTTAAGAAAGCTGAGAATCACCGAAACTTTCAAAAGCGCTGGTTCGTGTTGAAGGGCAACCTACTGTTCTACTATGACAAGGAAGGGGACAAGGAACCCCAGGGGGTCATCATCCTGGAAGGATGTCGAGTGGAACTTGCAGATCTGGAGGACTGCCTTTACTGCTTTCAGATTTCCTTCTCGGTGAAGGACTCGCGGTCGTACGCGATGGCAGCCACCAACCAGGAGGAGATGGAGTCCTGGATGAAAGCGTTGTCATGCTCCAGCTATGACTACATCAAAGCCATGGTGGATGAGCTTCAGAAGCAACTGGATGATCTGTCACACGGAAACAGTGAGAACTCTCCAGCGATGGTCGTTAGGACATCGGTCATTCAGAGCTGTGAGGTCCAAGATGCTGACGGTGCGACAGGCGGATCTGAACCCACTCCTATTCCTACAATACCTGAACATGTCATGGAACTACCTCCCAAACAGAACATGGGCACATACGAGCGGGGTAAGACGGAATCACTCGCGCACAGAGGGGCTCCCCGGCAGAGTGCCTACCAGAGAAATTCACTGCCATTTAACAACTACAGTAACCCCTCTTATGACATTTGGGACCCTCTTGTCTCCTCAAGCAAGAATCCAGCAGAGCAACCTAACGGAGCTGCCAAGCCCATACCCCAGTTTGTAATTGAGCAAGATAGCAGCGAGAGTGAGGAAGAGGAAGGAAAGCCATCAGATTCTGCCAACAACTCTAACAAGAATGCTCAAACAGATTACAAGGCTGACCAGTCTGATGGTCAGCATGTGTCCAGGTTAGCCACAACAGGTCGCAAGGTCATGTCTGTATTCTATGAAAATCTCAACATGCCGCTCATGTCTGGGTCCAGCGATACCAGTCCTAGGCTGACAAGGAAGAATGTGTTTGGCAAAGGAGGCCACGCTGCACAGGGTGCCAAGTCAGCTCAGGCTAGACAGTCTGTCTTCCATGTTCAAAATGAAAATGTCAGAACTTTCTCGGACATGCACGAGGAGTTTGGAATGCTCATTGTCAGAAAGATGAATATGTTCCGTCATAGGAAAACTTCGGAATCATCTTGAACTTAAATGACTTTAACAACATATATAATAAATGGACCTGGAAATTTAAAATTTCCAGTTTTCTATCATTACTTACTGTATTCTTACGTATGGACAAAGTCCAGCAAATAGGTATTTTTTGCAGATTGTGTGATACATGCTCCAGTGCCAATAGCCCTTGGGTCAACTTTCTATCAAGTAAAACTCAAAAATTCAATTTTGGACCCCACACTTCCCCTACCAGTATACCTACAACCCTAACAATAACCTGAAATCTCATCTCAATTCTCAACCCTAATTCTCTATCTTTGACATTGACAAAATAAAGTTCAGAGTAACTGACACTGGAGCATGTGTCACATCACGTTTCTTGACAAAAACTTGCTAGCTTATTCAGTAAAAAGGTATGTTATTAGGAAACAGTTAGACATGATAACATTAGTCTAAATGAAAGTACAGGTCAATAGAACGAGGAAAAAAAAAATGTCTGACATGCTTCATTATAATTATAGACATGTGTTTTATTGCAAGAGGTTGTATAACAAGAAAGCTGCCCATTTACACATGTACAGTGTAGTTGTAATGAAAAGCCTATGACTAATTTTTCTTTTCTTCAGGATTTGAGGCACTGGCTAATTACAACAACAAAATTTTATGTTATGTACTTTGGCAACCATGTACTTTTGCACTCATTTCTGGCAAGTGTTCTGGCAGGTCTAAAAAAAACAGATGTCTGTTGCCTGCAGACTTCCAAGATTTAACTCGTAGATCCCTATACTATTTCAATAGAGGCAGCTCGACAGGAGTTTTTATAAACTACGGTACATGAACATCTCCAAAGACTTGCTTAGGACCCAAAGAAATTCTAAGTGTTAAGCCCTAATTGAACTTTCTTTAAGTGGGGCTATATGTAAGTTCTCTGTGTAACATTTTACATATATGAACTTAAAGATTATCTTGAGGTGTGGCAATGGTGAAACTGAAAATAGATTCTTACAATCAAACAATTTTCTATGCTGAACATTCAAGACTACAAACAAGTGATAACTGCCGTACATACATGTATTTGGAAGATATATTAATTACAGTGATGAATAACTAAATAGAAGAGAACCACGATACATACATGTACATGTAGTTGTCCCGATGCATGTGAATTTGTAAGGGTAAATGTGAGTTGTGCCTTTCATTGGATAGGTGATTTCCGGCAAGTTTTGTTGTGAACGTAGCTGTAGCTGTTCATATTTTGCTGGGCTGAAGAACCCATCTTCTGAATGCAGAATTATTTTATACCAGTTTCTCTCTAAAATGCAATTTTAAGATAAATTTTGAATTCGTAAGTAAAAGAAAGATATGGTCATAGGCAAGTGCGTGTGTGTCCAATTAAAAAAAAAAGAAGATTATTGTATCGCATAGATAAGTATACTAAATAGTGACTACAGCTTTGGAATACATGTTATTATAAGAAAACATGACAGTGATATAAATATATAAAAGGAGTACCGGTAAGATATATATTTATCAGAGCTTTTATATTCATTCAGATCATTTTCTCTTTATGAAAATTAGGTGCTATTGGAATTTAATATCAAACATTGACTAACCACATTAGCTGCTTGTATATTTCGCTTTGAAAATAATGTTTTTTGTGTACAAGTGAAACAACTTGTTAGGTACTTAGATTCTTTTTTTCTATTTTGGGCTTGATAGTGAAAGTGGATATCTTATCAATAAATAAAAAAAACATTTACTAAGTACATAATATTTTTCTTCCTGGTACATGTATATTGTCGTGATGAGAATCCAACATAGTTTTATAAGGAACAAATCAATTCTGAAGTTTACATATATCACAAGGCAAGTGGATGGCATGGGTTACACTTACAGACACAGGTTCGAACTTCTGACCTGTCTTCTAATGGTGAAGGCATGTTTTCTTTAATGCATGTGATGTTTGATGTAGCATGAAGTTCAGCAATAGACAGAAATACACACTTGTCAGTTCTATTGCAAATGTTTGAATAGCTTCTTTATATATGTACTAACCAGTATTTAACAATTGGGGGCGGGGTGCGTTAGGGGGGGGGGGGGGGCCTATGGCACATTGTTCACCAAGTGGCAGGGACATTGAGACACATACATGTCTTTATGTTTCTTTGATTTTTGTTGATTTAATGGTATTGTTTAGAATTGATTTAATGTCAAAATATTGTACCTACTTTTGAACCCTTCAACTTTTTATCTTTAAAATAAATGGTGAAATGTTACTACTTTTACTTTGTATTCCTATTCTATGGCAGAAGAATGTTGGTTTGGGGTCACTTCACTTGCTTTAACTCGAGAACCAAAATGCTCCAGAACTCCTGGACCAGATATAAGATGATTGCTCAGTGTTGGCAACTAAAGATATAGTGTAACATGTTTACTGCAACCAGTGTGAGGTCGCAGTGGTGCAAGGGGAAGTTCAGTTTATAGTGCAGCATAGAAGATAATTGTTTTTCAATCTACAATGTGTATGTAAATTTTCCATGACGTACAGTTAACAACTAAATTATTCATACCCTTACCAAGTTTGGTTATGTTTTAAGTATATGGATAATAGATTTGTCCCGATTTATGCATCTTGAGAATATGACATATTAAAGCTTACATCTAAACATATTTAACAAAGACCCTAATTCAACCTTCAGTATTCACCTTTTATTCTTGAGTTACCAAAACACACATTTAAAAATATCAAATTTGCAAGGGGTATGAATAATTTAGTTGTTAAATGTAGTTTTAGGATTGGCAACCAGACAGGGGACATCCAAACATTAAAATTTGTCATATTTAGGTGGCTCAATCAAATAAGCAAAATTGTTTACAGAAGTTCTTTTCAAGTGTTGTCTTTGCAAAACAGTATGCATGAGGCATGAGGTGTTTTATACTTACATGATTGTACATGCAAGTATGCAATCATCATTGTTTTAATCGATATTAATCCCTAATAAAAATTTGTTATTGGAACATCAAATGTGAGGTGCTGTGTTTTTCTCTATAGGACAACACACTCCAGTTGCACAGGAAAAACTCACTTCCCTGTCTTACACTACGAGTACACTGATGCCAGTCTAAAAATAGTTTCCCATCCTAGTTTTCATGTTTGTCGTTTGGTGGTTTGGCGTACTTGTGTGTAACCAGATTTGAGTAGGGGTTGGGAAAATACAGGAAATGTGGTAACAAGCACAAGAGCATTTAAAATTAATATCCTTATAGGAATGATATGCTTCATTTGGATAAACGGAATGTCAAGTGTGCTGACAGAATCTGTACTTGTGTGTAGCCAGATTTGAGTAGGGGTTGGGAAGCTGAAGGAAATGTGGTAACAAGCATAAGAGCATAAGTGCTTTCATTTGGATGACAGAATGTCAAGTATGCGACCGAATCTGTATAAAATTACCCCGTTCAAATATTCACTGGTAAACTGAAGCCCTTCTTTTTTTCTTCATGAAGACGGAAAGTGCAATATACTTCACATTTCCTGTGTTTCGTGTATAACACTGAGCTTAGCTTAGCTTGTCATTCATTTACCTGTAGAAAATCATATCATAAAGAGCATTTAGTAGAGCAGGGGGGGGGGGGGGGGGGGGAGGATGGGGACTCCCCCACCACTTCCTATGGCTTTGTCTCTGTTTATATGTCCCTAATACTGGATAATGGCCGATTATATGATAGTGTTAGAAATGATATGGTGTGCACTTTGATATACATGTAAATTTGCCTGCCATGTGTTCATGAAACTATGTTCGACTTTGACAAGGTTGTAAAAATAGAAGAATGGTTTTGTTCTGGGCATGTGTCATGTGAGTCGTAACAGCTACAGCGTAAAGGGCTTTTGGTTTTTAAATATGTCTGACTTATTGTTCTATCAAAGACAGTGTATACTTTTCTCTATTGTTAATTCATTGTAGGAGTATTGTGCCAAACAAGGTATTGTGCAATCTTTCATGATGCACACACAAGGTAAATATAAAGAAAATCAACCAAACTTTCAAAAGTGAACTTAATTATTAAGAAGCAGTATTAAGACACAAGCTCTGGAATGTTCATGCCTTCTCCTTTTCTAAGAAAAGTATAATACTGTACATTTAGTCCCATGACTTTAACAATGTGTAAAAGGCAACGTTTGAAGAAGAAAAAAGAAAAATAATGATGTATTATTGTATACATTTTACAAGCTCAGTATACTTGAATATGAATGTGAATGTGAATATCTATATTATACCAACATCAATTTATATGGAGCATGTTTACAAAAATTAAAAGGAATAGATTTAACAGCAATATATCGCTTTCTTATATTTGAAGTTCTTTTCTTTGTTTCGTTCATTGATATACATATCTCTTAACTTCAAAGGTACTATAAACTACAAACTCCTCTTGTGACAACAGAAGTTACCATGCCATAGGCTTATTTACTTTTATTGTTGTCCCATAAGCAATAAGTAAAGAAGTAAAAGCAGCAAATTTACAACGTGATGAGAGCTTTGTATTTTCACTTTAAATTGCAAGGAATATTTAAAGGCATGGTATTAAAGTTCTACTGACATTGCTACTGGTACAATACAATACAATAAAGTCATTTCTATAACGCTCTTACAAACTAACTGTTGTTTCACAGCGCTTTACATAAAAGTTATCAAAGAATCTATTGTTGATCATGGCACTACTGTAATTTATTTAAATTCTGCTATCTTTCGGTGAATCAATTTTTAATCAATGTTTCCAGTTCCTGTACCCAAGCATCATCATGTGCGCATCCTGCAGTTGGTGATGCATTGTGGGACATGGCTGTCAACACATGGGGTCATGGTGAGCTGCGGATCTAAAGAAGTGTCAGTAAAATACCCTGTCTTTAACTGTCCTTTATAACCAGGTTACACTGTACAGAGGAAATCCTTCTTTTTTGTCATCTTTTTTTAAAAGATTCAACGTAGATATCAGAAGCTCACTGTGGAAGGAACCAAAACAACTTGGCCGAAAAAAATGCATAAAGTAGGCATACATTAGAGAAATTACCTACCAATAGCCTTAATGTCTGCAATGCTTTGTGTGTGATTTTAGGAAAATTATTCCACAACCTAATGTTACTCAATTATTCCCGTTTACTGAAACGAGAGCCGTTTCAGAGACCAGGCCCTCGTCTTAAAAAGAGTTGCGATTGATCCAAATTAATCGCAAATTCCATATATCTCTAATGTGCATAGTTGCGATTATAATATCAACTTGTTATAAAACTGGGCCCGGGTGGCAGGAAAGACCACTTCCTATATGAGTATGAAGTCCACACTTGTTGTTGGTTTCACTAGAATACCGGTATTGTTTTTCATTGAAATATCTACTGAAGTACTTTATAGTTCCTGCATGTACATAAATATCAAATAACATAAGTTGTCTGTAAAGAACTCTTCCGTTTCCTTTGAGCAGTAATATGTATGCATATTTCATTGTATATAACCATCGATTCATTCACAATACAATTTACATCACCTTTTCCTTTAAAGCAGTTGCATGGAGCCAAATTCAAAGTTGAGAAAACTTGACATAATAGATACCAACCATTGAAACCACATTTACAAGCTTGATTGTTTGAAAAGTGACATTAGTAGACCCTTCTGAAAAATATATACATGTATCTTTTAGAGTACTCAGCGAGATTGAATTACAGGATAGATTACTCTACAAGTAGCTTTATGGCCCAGTTGAGCAATAACAGGAAACCTTACCTTAAGAAACATCTTAGGTTATTCTGAAAGATTTATTGGACTCTTCAACTCTTGCCCATTAATCGATACAAGATTCCCCACCAAAGTATATGAGAGAGGTATAAAGCAATACATTCTTAGCATAATATAATATACAGTTTTTCAGCACGACGTGGGGATCCTCATTTTCTTGATAACCTTGCGTACAGAGTTCAGTATGTTGGGCCCTCTACTAAACTAACTCAAAGCAAAGGAAATGCCCTCCGAACTACCTTGACTGGTTAAAGATAATCATTGGACCTTGGAAAGGCCTCGCCTATTTTTTTTAATAAACGCAATCGCAAAGACTTTCGAAAAAATCAACCTTAGTCAATCTTAATGGCCTTCTACTTCACCCGCAGACCATGACATTATTTTGTAATCCAATCAAGATTTCTGCAGGCAATACAATACCTTAAAATGATTAATTATAACTTTTTCGAGCATTGCTAACAACTCATTCTTAAATTGTTACCTTACCTTGTTATCTTATGTTTCATAATTTCACTTCATATTTGTTTTCTTTTCATTACTCTGTTTAGTTTTAATTGTATCAATATTGTAAAGCGCTTTGATATAAATGTCTTATGAAAAGCGCTATATAAGTAAAAGTTATTATTATTATTATTATTTGCTGGACGGAGTTCATGATCAGAGCTAGTTGCATAGCTGTGGACTTTTTTTAATTATTGTTATTGTTATATTTATTAATTTTATTATCATTATTATTATTATTATTATCATTATTATTATTATAAATTCCCTCCGAAGGAGCTTTTAATGAGCTCGAAGAGAAAACAGTATGTTCCGCCTCCGATTCAGCTTTCAAAGAGTTAACTCTATGTTAGCTCGAACATAGAGGTGAATTGCGCCCCCAATCCTCGGGGGATAAAAGAAATAAATTATAATGTATATCTATTCCGCTAATTGCAGAGGCCCTATAGCCCCTATATACTTGCCTTGCATTCTAAGAGCTTTTCAGATACTAATACAAAGAATACAAATCACACTCAAATGGTCTGGGCATTGTTTAGGCTCCATTCTCGGCCTGAATTTTCTGTCAGAATTGCTTGTTGGTAATTCAAGAAATCTTTATTAATGAAGTTTAGCCAGACGAGTGCTGCCAAGTTCCTGAGAGGTAGGCTATCCGGGAACTCAATCTTTTGCCTTGGATGGCTCGGATGACGTTCTTACATGGCTCTCGAACCCAGGCGCGGATCCAGGATTTCTTAGGGGGGGGGGGGGGCCAAATTTGAAATTATGCGAGCCAAATATTGGTACGTAATGGTGACCAGCAGTGACGTAGTGGGGGGTGGGTGCAGGGAAGGGCGAGTTTCCCCTCCCTCCTCCGCGAAGCGCGGAAGCTTTGACGTTTCATTAAATTATTAGAGAAAGAAGACGATTGGTTGTACCGTTCCCCAAAATAATCCTCGTCTAAATTTTGTTTCCCCCTTCAGCGCGAAGCGCGGAAGCTTTTACGTTTCATTAAATCATAAGAGAAAGAAGACGATTCGTTGTACCGTTATCGACTCTTAATCCTCGTCTTAATTCAGTTTTTCCCCTCCCGCGCAAAGCGCGGAAAACTTTGACGTTTTATTAAATTTTTAGAGAAAGAAGACTATTCGTTGTACCGTCCCGACTCTATATCCTTGTCTGAATTCATCCCCCCCCCCCTCCTGCGCGAAGCGCGGAAGCTTTTACGTTTCCTTAAATCATTAGAGAAAGAAGACGATTCGTATCACCATTCACGACTCTTTAAGGGAAAGTCGACCCCCAAAATAAGTTTGTTTCGATAGAGGCAGAATAATAAGAAAATCAGGTGAGTGAAAGTTTGAGCAAATTCTGATTGAACATTAGAAAGTTATGAATTACTGAAGTTGTGATCAATCAAATACAAATTGGCAACTCTGTGACTTATTATACGAGCTCTCCTTCATTTGCTTTGTGCATAATATTCCATAAAATCATGTTTTCTTCGTTATTGATGACGGAATATACATTTGTTCCTTGCAGGGGGAGTATAGAAACATATTTGCAATTATTATATTTAGGGTGCATGTATGGTTGAAATTTTTCTTGAGGGAAAATGAAAATTTTAGATTTTTTTAGTACTGAGCAAATGGAAGTTGAGCTCGCATGATACGTCATAGAGTTGCCAATTTGTGTTTGATTGATCACAACTTCAAAAATCCTAACTTCCTTATTTTTAATCGGAATGTGCTCAAACTTTCACTGACTTGTTTCTCTCATTTTTCTACTCCTATTAAAACTAACTTAATTTCAGGGTGGACTTCCCTTTAATCCTTGTTTGAATTGATTCCCCCCTCCCCCTCCACCCTTCTGCTCAAATCGCGGAAGCTTTGACGTTACTATTACAGAAAGAAGACGATTCGTTGTACCGTTATCGACTCTATATCCTTGTCTGAATTCATTCCCCCCCCCCCCCCTCCTGCGCGAAGCGCGGAAGCTTTGACGTTATTATTACAGAAAGAAGACGATTCGTTGTACCGTTCTCGACTCTATATCCTTGTCTGAATTCATTCCCCCCCCCCCTCCTGCGCGAAGCGCGGAAGCTTTGAAGTTCCATTTAATTATTACAGAAAGAAGACGATTCGTTGTAACGTTCTCGACTCCTAATCCTCGTCTGAATTCAGTTTCCCCCTTCCGCGCGAAGCTTGGAAGTTTTTCGTTTCCTTAAATCATTAGAGAAAGAAGACGATTCGTATTACCATTCTCGACTCTTAATCCTTGTTTGAATTCACTCCCTCCCCCCTTCTGCTCGAAGCGCGGAAGCTTTGACGTTTCTTTGAATTATTAGAGAAGAAGATGATTCGTTGTACCGTTCTCGACTCATAATCCTTGTCTGAATTTCAAAAATGTTCTTTGTCTGCTCCCTTTTCTTTTTACATCCTCTTCCTTTTCTCTCCTCACTTTTTTGGCCGGCGTTTTTTGGGGGGACCACCCCAGCGCCGCCCTCCTCCCCCCTTGCTACGCGCCTACGGTCAGATGAACACAATGTTGATACCTTGTCCGCCCCCGGAAGCTCAGGGGTTTAAGGCAACAATTTACGGTCAGATTAACATTCAGGGGGTCCGTCATAAGAGGACACTTTTTTTTTTTTTTTTGGGTCTCGAAATTTTGAAATTTGACATTTTGCTCCGTTGGGGGGGGGGGTAAGGTCACCTTTTTTAGGTCGGCCATGGGAATAATTTTTTTTTTTTTTTTTTTTTTTTTAATAATTAAAAAAAAAAAAAAAAAAAAAAAAAAATCCAAAAGGGGGGGGGGGGGGGGGGGGGGGGTTTTAGGTTTTTTTAGGGGGGTTTACACACAAAAAATTTCCAAAGGGGGGGGTTTAACCCCCCAAACCCCCCCCTGCGTACGCGCCTGTCTATGATACCAGCGCAAATATTCATATTTTCATCTTCAGCGCGCGCCAGGATGGCTAGGTTAGGTTTAAAAATGACGCCCCGGCCCCTGCATGCATGCTAGGCATAGGCGCTTAATTGGCCCTGCCCTGGCCGGTGTGACCGCGTAGAATGT